ATGCGGCTATAAACCATTTTGGAGCCGCCAGGAGCTGCAGTCGCAAGCATTTATTTTTATTTTTATTCTCATTTCGGTTGCCACTTATGTTGGCCCGCATTTGGCCATTTCTCAAGTCTTTCGGCCCGCTCGAGTGCGTCTCTTTTTCGGGCCTTAGTTTTTTGGCGTTTCCTTCTTTATTTTTTTTTTTTTTGGCAACATATGCAAGTAATTTGATTAAATTATATAATTACAGGGCCAGACATTCGAGATGGCGAGATGAGAAGACGGTAAGTCGGTCCTGACTTTGACGAACAGCAGCACGCAAAACGCCGCACCGCCGCACCACCGCACCACATTATGGCCATGGTGGTTAGCATTAAGTTAAAGTTAGGCTTAATGGCAAGCACCGAACAAAATGGGCGTCATTTTGGAGCTGATAAGATGAACATTGAAATATGTAGATTATTTTGAAAATTAGTTGAAAGATCAGTATCCCACACAAAGCCTACTAAAATAAAAAATAATAAACAAGTGATAGTAATCATTATCGAAGATCATGCTATTGATTATATTTAAAAAATGACAAACTTTAAAATACAATTTAGAGTACAGCTATGGACTTGTACGTTTCGATTCGTTGCACCAATTATTTTGCACTGTGTAGATCGCTGACTGCGACACTCACTGCAGGCCGGGACTAGTGCAATTTGTATTTCGAAAAGGCAACAAATAAGCACTGGGCACGGCCTACATCAGGTGACGTTTTAATGTACCACTGCACTCTCGTCTCGGATGCACTCCAGTCCACTCCACTCCACTCCCCACACTACTCACCTTCGCGCTCCGTGGGTCTTGGCCATCTTGGCCATATCAATAAGCCAAGTCAGCCAGCTCCAGCTGGGAAGTGAGGAGCCAGGAATGTCCGAGTGCCACATAAACACTGTAATTACACACACACGCACACACACACACTCACTCCCAAATGCGAGGAGCTGTAATTTAATTAAGAAATATAGACGCATTATTAACAAAAAAAAAAAAGGAGTAAACAAGGGGGCAACGCACATAGAAATGGCCTAGAGGCCCCACCCAGTTTGGTCAAATGGAGATGTGCCTACTCAGACGTCATTTGGCATTCGGCTGTGCCGCCATTCCGACTGCAGGTTTCAGTTTTCCAGTTTCAGGCACACATTCTGGCTAAATCCCGGGAATGATGGTGCGTTGGACGTCGCACGACATCGATCAGCATCCCAAATGGAAACACCTCCAGTGATTCTGGGTGGCCTTCAAGACAGGCGAAAATTTAGGCGGTAGATATCTTATTAGCATGGTCAGCTATCCATTGCATTCTTCATGGCCGCCAGTTCAACTGGCTGAAAGAGTTCTTCCCCCGAGGAACTATTTCCTTGGGATAGTAATCAAAGCTTAGCTTGAGTTGCAGCTCCAAGGGGCTTAAGGTGGAAGCTTTCGGAAGCTTTTGGGTTGCTTCTGGCATACATAAAGTAATAAAACTTAAGGACCTTTTTGTTTGCTTTAAGTTTGCCAAGGGAAAAATAAATATGTATATCATCATATGCGTTATTCTCCAGTCATAAAGAGGGCAGATTACTATTGTGCAAGACAATAAAATCATACTAGGCCCTTCTAGAGGTCGCAGATGAGCAAGGGGGACGTGGACTTAAGGACGTTCACATCCGTGGCAACGTCATAAGTGCGTCTCATCCCATAGGTATGTACATATATTTGCATTTCAGTTGACGCCTTAATGAAACCATGAAGTGAATTATTGTTTAAAATATGTATGGTCCTTTATGTAGGATTTATAGGATTCTATACCATTACAGATGTGCATCTTACAGATAGAGTATTATGCTTCTGCCGAATCTGAAAATTAATCAATTTTGGATTAGTCGACCCATTCCCCTGCCTTTAAAACAAAGCAAATGTGTATTTTTCCATTATGTTAATAAATAAAATGCTTGGATCTTCCACCCCTGTTACTGCGAGGCTAGAAGACTTAAAAGAGTATATAATTAAATCATAAATGGAGTAATCGAATTTGTCATTAATGCGGCTATTATGCTCTATGCATAGATGTAGACACGCGTGCCAATATCCCTACCCGTAATTTAAAAGTGCAACTTAAATCTACTCGTCCTCCTCCTGCGACTCGCTGCTATGATCTACCGGATCGACCTGATCCGTCTTTCGTTTGCTGCCGGTGTCCTCGTTTCGAAGTGAGGATTGGACCAGTTCGCGGGTGAACTTCTGCACCAGACGCAAGGCAGTGGGCGCTGGCATATCGCACAGGGAGTGGCACATGAACTCCCCGAATCCCCGGAATTTGGCGTACGCCGCTGGCAAGGGGGCTAGATGTGGTGCTGGATAGAATCCTGATATCGACAGATCGTCTTCGACTCGACGCTTCGACGGATGCTCGTCCAACGGGTGTGCTCCACGCTTATTGCTCTTCATGGGATTAACAATTGGACTACTGATAATGTACTCCGGCTGAGTTTGATTTCGTCTTTGATAGCTTTCCGCAAAGTGATTGTAGCCCTTGCCATTGGGCGTTTCTCCATTCGCAGACCGCTGGGTCTTGTTGGCTTCGTCCGAGTTATTCAGCGGAATCCTAAAAAGAGATTAGGTCTTGTCATTAGGAAATGGTGCTAAGCAATAATGGGTTATGAACTCACCCCAGCACTGTGGTCACTGGAAGCGCCTGCTCGCAATCGAAGATCTCGCTGTCGTCCTCCAGTTCGTCCTTAATGCTGGTAAGATGCCCGTTGCTGTCGCTCTGGCAATCGTCCACCTCGTAGGTCTCCTCATCATCCTCCCTAACACTCATGTTCTTAAAGCTGCGCCTGGGCCGTATGTGATCCCCCAGAAACTGGAGGCTTTCGAATAGAGGCCATTGTGAAGTCTGTGTGGAAACGCCATTCTCGAAGCGTCGCTTCTCGATGTTATAGCGATTCCTCAACGTGGTCATGCGTTCCCTTATACTGGTGGCTAAGAATTAAGATGGGAATATACCTAGAATTATTTCCCGCTATATGAAATTAAATTAATCCCCTTGCTCACCATCGTAGCCCAGTTTGTGGGCTATCTGTTCCCATATATGGGCCACATACAGCTTGTCCTTGAACCGCTTGTTGGTCCTATCGTAGAGCACTGGGTGCGATCGGTATTCCCGGATCAGGCCCATATCGAACTCGCCCGTTTGGGCGTATGTAGCTCGAGGCCGACCACGCCCCTTTGGCAACTGCGGTGGATACAAGTGCGTCATTGGCTCCATTCCTCCTCCAGCACTGCATGTATTATTTGGAGCAGAGAGAAGGTTTATATTATCCATTTAAATCGTTTTTTGTGATTTGTTAAAATTTTGTTTTTTCTTTTTTTTTTTAAGTTTAATGCTGCATAATTCGACACGATCGAGTTATTCCAGGCAAACTGACTTAAAATCCCTAAAAAAAAATATATATATTTATATACATATATTCATTTTTTAACCGCTTTTTCTAAATGATATTTGATGCTGCACAAAGGTCTAAAAAAAAGTTAATCGATCCAGCGAAAGAAAAGAACAGAGGAAAGAAGGCACAGTATAGGGATATACACACACATTTACTTAGTTACCGGTTTTTCAACAAAAGGGAGCATAAACAATTAAAAATCAACGTCTGACAGAGAAAAAGAAGTCTATAAAACGAAGCATTGGCGGTTGAGATGCACTGGATTTTCGTAAGACTGCTTGATCTTTTTATGCTGCATAATCACTTCGATAAATCGATGGTCCGTTAAGGATACGCACATCCATTTTCCCGTTTTTCAATCCACAATAAATGAGATGTCTACAAAGCAGATGGAAGCAGCATAATAGCTTAGCAACATAGTAATTTGGACTTCGATCAGGTGTTACTATTCACAAAATCAAGGCTAGAGTGTAATTGAATTTAACGATAACCGACCGATAAATCGATGCTTGCCATCCCTAATCTGCATCCGCTTTCATGACATGTACATGCATTTTACACAGCCGCAGCCGTTTAGATGTATATATACGCGTGCGTAGGTGTGTATGTAAAACAAAACTGCATCTTCAGTACGCTCTGTCTCTCTCTAGCGCTCATCTGTGGTGCTAAGCGAACGACGCGCACTGTCGGCGTCGACGCCAGCAGCGCAATAAAAACAAAGCCAGCGAATACCGTAAAAATATCAAACTACCCAAAAAAAAAAAAGTACAGGAACGCGCTCACAACTGCTTGATATTAATTTTAAGCGACGCCAGCTGCGCTGCTCCGCTCTGCTCACACAGATAAACATAAAGAGTCGCCTTTATAAACTTTAAATAAACAATTGCAGACTACCACTAATTTACGCTGTGCGAACGGAATAAATAAATAACAAATCAAACAAAAAAAAAAGAGAAATAATAAAACTAAAATAAAAAGTAAGCAGGCATTAGCGAGTAATTGAGAAACGGGTATTATTTTTGGCTGCCTGGCAATATCGAATTAACAAATATCTTTAATTTATTTTTATAGATTTACTCACCTCGGAAAATACAATTTAGATTCGCCTCAGGTTGGTTTTAGTGTGTATTTTTATTTTTATACCTATTAAAACGCGCGCTCTTTGCTCCGCGTTGCGCTTGGGCTTGCCTCTGCTTTCTAGTAGCTGGCTATTATGGCTAACTGTAGCTGTGGCTGTTACTTTAAAAAATCAATATAGACGTAAATAAATTAATTAAGATTGCCTGCGCAACACACGACGCTCCGCCAGTGCGATGTTCGCCGCTCTCTTTCGCTCGCGATGCTCTGTCTTTTTGCCTGCACGCACAACTAGTCGCTGTGAGAATATTTTTTAAACTGAAACTGAAAAAATTTTTTATTTTTATATTTTACGAATTACGGACGAGGCAAGCCGCAAGAGAGCGGCACTCACACAGAGACAAGCACTCACACAGACACACAGTCAAACGAACACGCGCGCACCCGCCCTCTCGCTCACACAGGCGCCGAGCCCCATGTAGTAGAGATGCGAGCATGAGGCGATTTCTTTCTCGCGTGACCGCCGACTTTGAAGATGTACTCAAACAAGTTAGTATCACTCGTATTTCTGCTACGTTGTGGTTGTGTTATTGAAGTTAACAGTAAGAAGTTATTATTTTCATTCATTTTAAACTGCATTGCACTATTGCGACACTTTTTACTCGTAGCACAGACCAATCAATTGCACATCTCTAGCAGACAGCCAACCAGGTGGCAGCGCTGTCAACTCAAATACATGTGGCAACCACGAGTCGGACATTTTCATAACGGAAGAATGGTTGAAAAGTACCAGAATAGCGCGCGCGATTGGGATATTTTTTAATATCGAATTTAACAATGAAGTGTAGGAATACATATATGAGCACTGATTTTAAGTGATTGAATACATATAAGAACATAGAACAAACAGGAAGCAAACTCACCTGGATATATATACTATTATATAAATAAAATTTCATACATGTTCTGGTATTGCAAATTTGAGATCTGAAACAACAGAAAATATTTCATAAGTAAATATTCAAGGTATGGCTTTAGTAATAATATATACATATATAAAATTCATTTCAGTTGTTTATTACAAACCGCCCATAGGCCGGGACAAGTGCAATGTTTATTCGAAATGCAAAACGTTGACACCTTCCCGTCCTACGGGAAATTCATATTCATATTCGGCCGAAAACAAGATCACGAATATTGAGTTTCAGCAAGTACAGGAACATCTTGATAAAGATTCAAAAATAATACCATCAACAGGTAGGCAGGTAGGCAAACAATAGGACCACTGATCAAAGCCCAAAAATCTCGAATTTCAAAAGCAGAGTACAAAAAAAAGCAGCAGTTCATATTAAATTTCCGCCCCTACTTGAGTGTCCTTTGTGCGGGTCTGTGAAATGCCCAACAATAGTCCTGGTTCGGCTCCTCGAGGAGTGGGAGTCTCGGATCGCATAGGATCGGGAGCAGGTAAAACTAAACCCTGGACAAAATCAAGCGTTAAATGCCTTTTACTTACGCCTCACATCATTTCGCAAGAGGAAGCTTGTATGTATATGAAAGTATGTGTATGAAAGTATGCTGCGGGGTCCATTAACAGTTGGCTAACATCAACAAAATTTGAAATCTAAAGCGTGACAAATTCGTAGAAACCAGAACCACTCGGAGGCGGGCAAAAAAAAATTAACAAATCTGCTGAGCGGAAGAATTGCCAGGGCAGCAAAAAGAAGTCTACCAAACCACACCCGAGCTACCCCTTTTTCCGGGCTTTTCCAGAGATTCTTTAAGACTCCAACTGTTTCGGAGCCTCAGCGTATTTCGCTTATCTGCCCCAAATGAAAATGAAGCATATAATAATACTCATAATATCTCTTGGGTGGGGGAGAGTGTAGAAGCAGAGCTTTGCTCGGTATTTGTTTATTTGATCGCTGCTGGCGGCGCTTTTCGTGGCCCAAGACGGTTTTAATGTTGTTCCCTGCGACACTAAAATGAACTCCGCACTGAACAAGCGCTGCAATAAATTCATATTTATTTATTTTCGTTAGGCAAATACGCCCCCAACGGCACGAAGACTGTCTTCAGTCCTCGGGCGCTTCTCCCCTCGCCTTCTCCATTCAGCAAACGAAAGGAAAGGCCCAAAAGAGACCCCAAGTCCGAGTCTTGGAGATCGGAAAGCGGAAACGCAAATAGTAGACGCACGATAAAAAAAAAAGCCGAGGCAGAAGAATGAGCAGAAAACAGAAAAAGTACGGCACATAAATTTGAAATAACTAATAATTCATTGAAAAAGCTGCCAGGGAATGGGGCAGGCATTGGGGTAAAAACTGGAGTGACTCGGTGGTGGGGATCAAATAATAATATTTGCTCAAGCCAACAGCTGACAAGTCAGCAATAACACACACTTCTCTCGATATCGCGATTGAAAATCCCGCGAGAATTGAAGGAGCGCGAGTTTAGAAAGAGGAGGCCTTTCGGTTGTTGGGCGATGGAAATATATATTGGGGGCTGGGAAGAGACACACATAATAGCCCGTTTACAATTCAACTGGTCTGGCAAGAGGTAGATTAATTGCAGAGGTTTTCCAATACATCCTATTTTGAATTTCTATAATTTGTTTTAAACTACTATTGCGTAAGTTTCCAGTTTTATCATTACTTGTGTTATCTTCTCCTTTTCTAACATTTGTTTGAAATGCCCATTTGTCTTTCTTATGGGGTTCCTCTCTGCACGTCTGTGCTCATTAAGGGCATTCAGAGTTCGGTTAGCTGGCCTTTCTCCTGCACATTTATGATGGCTATTTCTCCGCCTCTGCGAAAGACTTGCCAGCCTTTTCGTTGCCCGTTGGTCTGTTCTAGTTCGAGTACAATCGTTTTTAATGACTCGAGAGAAGGAGCCGCAGTGCCAATCCAAACCAAACCAAACTTAGGAAGGCATCGAAGCCTTCGATGGCGGCCAGGGATAAGTGAACGGGAATGGTCATGGATGGCCATGACTTCCAGCCAAAAACCGTTTGCATCTCCCATTGTTGATGTACTTGCTGCTTCTTCGAGAGAAAGAGCTACAGTGGATGCAACTAGAATTGATCAAACGCCTAAAGGATAAGAAGTGTTTGCAATTACAATTATTTTATGAGCCTTCTAAATCTCTATAGATTCGCGATAGAATGTGCAATGATTTACAATGATAAAATATACAACTAACCCATCTGTATGTTATTAACAAGAACCTTATTATTTTACAGTCCACAGTTTAACAGTTGAGTTGAGAGGAAATGAAGAGAAAAAAAACCTATAATTTTAATTTCTGCTGATGAGTTGAGAAAATGATCGTAAAGTCAGCTTAAAGATAATAACTATAAATTTTATTACAGGCAAATATTTGTCTTCTTTTTTCCTATAATATTATGCAAAAAATTAGAAATGACTAATGAGCAAGAAAAGTGCCTTCCATAGAGTTTCCACTGTAGATCGAGCGAGGGCCGCGAATAAAAATAACTGTATTAAATGGGCCCAGGACCAGTGAGAAAGGTCTGCCGCCTGAGAAGCGAACCTCCGCTCTTGGCTGTTACAATTTCTAGGCTCCGGCCGAGGCTCTCGGGTCGCCAGACTTGGCCATCGGTTTGGCCATGGTCGAAGGAACCTGTTTTGGGTCCAGCAGCAGCAGATCGCGCAAAAGGCGTTCCAGAGATGCGGACTGGGCCGTGCCTGGCTGTCTCATCTGTTGTCTATTTGGCAGGCTCCAACTTCTACCAATTGCTGGGGGCCTGTTCGCAAGTGCAACATGTTGCCAGCAACATTTGTTGCCTCGACAAACACTCACAGATTTGATTTGCTCTTGCTTCCAATTCTTCTGCATTTGCCAAGCTATTTTTTGGTTGGTTTGTTTTTGCAGCAGCCGCCACAGCAGCCGCCGCAGTAACAGCAACGTAATCGAAATGCAATTAAGATGCGGCTTCAGAGTGCTGCAGAATTTTTGACTCGCACTCACCAAAGGAGCGAGAACGTGGCTGCAATTTATATTCCCGGACAGATTTTTAGAAAGTAGCAGAGGAGTTACACCCGAGTCCAGACCAATGCCAAGACCAAGACCAACCCATAGTGCCATTCGAAAGGCGTTGACGTGGAGAGGTGAGCCCGATCCCGAAATGCGGCTTAGAACGATCTCGGTGGATTGTAGACTCACTCTGTTGGTATTCGTATGTGGCATAATTAAAGGGTTACGCCACAGCCACGCCAATCTTCATTCGATATGTGGCGATCTGTTCGCGTCCCCTGCTTTCTTCTCTGCTTTGCAAAGCACTGATCTGCTGTAGAATTCAGTTCTGTAGAATTGTGTGGCTGATATGCATAACGGTGGTTTAATATGAGTTGGCGCACTAAGAGCGACTGCGCCACAAGTGGGCATGTCTCCGGTGATCCAACCCCTTTTTTTTCTATTTCATCCTTGCACTGGGAAAAAGTCTCATTTAACTTGCAGGGAAAAGAATCGAAAAGAATTTGATTCGGAAGTAGCGCATAGTATGATAAATTAAAGTGAAAAAATTGTAATTATAGAGGCTGACTTAAGAATTAAAAAAATGAAATGCTAATAAAAGAACGGAGCTAGCAAACGTTAGATTCGGTTTCCTATGAACAGAAAACTTGTTTTTTTCGAAATCTTGAACAAATTAATTTCCTGAAACTACCCTGAATAATTTATTAAATTTCCCGCAATGTAAGAGGCTTCTCTTGTAAGTCGAAGAAGCACATGCATTTCGTTGATATCGTTATGGCATAATATGGGCCACTCTCCCTGGACGTGTGCAGTCATCAGTCCAAATGGTCGGCCATCAGCGCATCGTTTATTGGGGTTCGCTCCGCGAGTTCTCCAATTGATTGCCCACATCTGTGCCGGCTAAGGATGGAGCTCTGAAGGAATCTTCGCCAGACGCACGAGGAGGACCAGAAATTATTGTTCATTGGGAGAACGTGGTCTCGAGTGGTAGTCTCTGTTTAATGGCATCAAACTTTAAGAGCAGCCAGTGTCTTAAGGCAAATAACCACACTCAGCTGGAAGTTTGACTTGATTCCATTATGCCGGGATTGCAAAATAAAAACGATCTCATTTAATTTGTTACTGGACAGGTGCAGATTTGCCAACAAATTCTAATAGCCAACTTATCTTTATCTTTTTGCTGCTTGGTGCGATATACTGCTTCTCTAAAATGAGGGTTTACATTCGCAGCTTATGGATTCTGGCTTTTTCTTGGAACTATGATATCTCAATTTTTAGTTTCATTCATATCAAGAATATGAATTCTTTAAAAAATTGTTCAGTTATACATTAAATACATTAAATTTTACACTTATAATACAATTTCCACTGGGGAATTGTCCTTTGCGAATTGGGAATTGACCGGAACATGGCAATTTGCAATTCCGTATTCAACTTTTAGTATATACATACATTCAATTAACTCAACCTTTTGCGATATCCAAGTAAAAGCTCTAAAAAACTGTCTGCACTTTACGCTATACAGCTGAAGGCTAGAATCGTGTCATAAAATCATAGACTTTTTACAGGACACATTGTGCGTAATCTTTTCATGGCATCTCCCCACAAAGTTTCTCATTATTTCGCAAATGTGTAACCAAATGTTATTATCCGCTAATTGCCAAATAGTTTGGCGTATCTCGTTAGCAATGGCAGGCAGATTGCCGACTGAAGACTAGAGACTGAAGACTTGGCCTGGACGAGGCTCTACAGCTACAACGGCTCAATTACTTCGCGTCTTCAGTGGCTCACAATCTGGGCGCTGAAGAATCGGGCTTGTTGCCAAGGAGGAGTCTTCGGTCTAATAGCTAATGATCGGCGGTAAATATGCGCCATCTTAATCCCCCCGTCGTACCCTGATCATCAGCATCTTTAAAGTGA